AGCCCTCCGGTGTATCAGCCACTCCTCCCAGTTTTGTGTCATCAGCAAACTTGCTGATGGTACGCTCTGTCCCCTTGTCCAGGTCATTGATGAGTAAGTTGAACAAGACCGGGCCGAGTACTGAACCCTGGGGAACTCCACTAGCTACCAGCCTCCAACTAGGCTCTGCCCCGCCGATCAGAACCCTCAGAGTCCTGCCGTTCAGCCAGTTCCCAATCCACCTCACTGTCCACTCATCCAACCCACACTTCCTGAGACACTTCCCAGTCACCTCCTTCATGTGGTGGAAGTAGCTTCCAGGAGGATTTGCCCCATAACTTTGTTGGGACAGAGGTGCGGTTGACTGCCTGTGGTTAGCTGGACGCTGTTCCTGACAGGTGAAAGAAGCCTTTGCCCAAGCTGTGTTCCTACAGAATCATAGAATCGTTTAGGTTGGAAAAGACCTTTAAGATCATCAAGTCCAACTGTTAACCTAACACTGCCATCCCACCACTAAACCGTGTCCCTAAGCAACTAAACTATGTTCATATCATGCCAGATTTTTAAAAGTAATAGGTGCTTCATGGATTATGAGCAGCACTTTGTTTAATCTCAGGTACCTACAACCATAAACTACAGTTGAGGAGTACATTGCCATAATCTGAAAGGAATCACTGTCTAAGGAAAAGCAAAATAAAGCCCTTCAGCATTTGCCTTCTCCTTTGTTCATTTGCAGAGCTCTGTGTCTTGAAGTTCACTCTGAAATGAGTCTGTTCCAATTTTGTCTGAAAAGCATATAGATGTTCTGCACCCAGCATGTGAAAACATCTTAAACCTTTAAACCGCCTTGAACCTAACGAATATCCAAAGCTCTGTCTGCCCATCTGTTTGCGTTTTATGCTGTTGCCTGGTATGATGGTGTAGTAGCACGTCTTGAGTATAAGCAGCTACCAGCAGTGACATCTCGTTTGGACCTGTTGGAGCTTATGGTTTTCTTCCAGTTAGAGGAAAAATAGATTTTTTTTTTTGATTTTTTTTTTTTTTTACCTTTTAGTTTATGTTGGTTCGCCAGGTTTGTTTGTTGATGGCTTTAGGTCTTTTTTCTTTCATTTTGTCTTAGAATTTTTAATGGTACCGGAGGATAGAAAGGCTCATCATGTTCCTAGATTGTGAGAGATCTGAGTGGATCTTCACTGGCTTTGGAGTTCAGGGCAATGATCAGCTTCCTTCATACCTGCTCGTTCATATATGAGGGTGAGGAGGGTTAAAATTTACACAATTATAAATTTATTTTGTAAATATGAGAAGGGTTTTGAGAAGCTGAGAGATGAGAAAGAAGAGCCTCGAAATAACTGCAGCAGATTTGGTTTTAGCTGTTTCCTCATAATGCACGTAGTGTTGAAATTTCAGTCTGAAAAAGCAGTGAAGACGTGTTAGAAATGCTTTGAGAAATGAAGAAGAGATAAAAGATAAGCATGGAAAACAACACAAGTAGTCACAGCCTGCAGTAATAGTGTGGCTAATAGCCTTTGCAGCCAAGAGAATGAATCTCACTACAGGAAAGTTACTTTTTTGTAACTGACCCAGATCTCTTGACAGAGGTGCAGAAGAGTTGCATCTGGACGGTGAAGAGGGCCAGCTGAAGCTCGGCCCTGGAGGAGCGCACGGCTCTCCGGTGCAGCGGCAGCGTGAGCTCTGCGCATGTTGCCCACCGACACGCCGGGGTGTAACCTGTCAGCCCGAGGAAATGTTTTACTTCATCGTCTTCCCAATGTGTTAGTCAGCTTTGACATCAAGTACAGGTTGTCTCTTTGTGGTGATCCATCTGCCTTGCTTTTTCATCAATCCAGAAGGCAGGAAGTCTGCCTCAGACCGTGGGAGTAGCTGACAGATACTGCCTCTCTGCCGTCTTGGTTCATGATCTGCATTCTTCCTACTTGCAGTACACAAACCCCTCAGCTTCTTGTGAAGAGCCATGAGAGGAAGAGGGCAGACAAAAAGCAATTAATGCTTAAGATTTTAACTGTGGTGTACCTCTGCCATTGCAAAAAACGTAAGAAAACTGCACGACTAATTTGTTAAATTGTTCAGTCACAATGATGGGCCTCAAACAAGACTGTGGTGCTTTCTCTGGACTGATTCTGAATGTTTTGGATACACGGGCGTGATCTTTTGGAGTTTCAGCCACAGGGGGACTCCTGCTCCGTGTCCAGTCTCTCATGCCTCCCATCTATACTTTTACACGCTATTTTTTTTAAATCTTGTAACCAGGTGTCCCATCCAGAAGTGGCTGAGAGAGTATCTGCCCCAGAAGAAGTTCCCTCCTTGCCCTCGGAAGAACGTGGTATAAAAAAATCTCGGGATGTATTTGGTTTAGATTTCGGCATAACAACAGTTAAACAACCACCCACAGCAGACTCAGAGGTAAATAAAGAAACACTTGGAAGTGGAAAAGACTTCAAAAATGCAAATTAAATTTATTCCAGGAGAGAGAAATAAATTCCAGTATATACTTTTTCTCCTCCACTCCTTTTTTCTCTCCTTGAAATTTACCTTGAGCCATTTCAGCTTAAACTGTAATCTAAGAACCCTTTACACTTTGACTCTGCACCTACGAGTTCTAAATTGCTTATAGAAACTAGTATTGAGCCTTGAGTAGAAACTATTCATTTGATTTAATTTTACTTTTACATTGATTCAACTTAATTTATTAAGGACTTCAAGTGAAGCTGAATGTATTCCTGATGAGGTTAAAATTTAAATCAATGAGGTTTATGTAGGGGTTTGCACAGGTTTAACTGAGTTTATTTTAAAGTATGTGGAATCAGCCCCAGAGATGATGCTCAGGGCTGTAATCTCAACTATTTGAATGATTGCTAGGCGCTCTAGCAAGGGAGAAGCAACACTAATGCGCAGCTTTGTAAGTCAAATCAGAACCCTGATGAGCATCACAGGACAAACTCAATTTGTGCTGTCTAGACAGGATAAGGAGTGAGTTTTGAGTACAAGAAATGCAAAAAAAAAAAAAAAAAAAAGACTTCTGGAATACTTGGATTTTGAAAATGATGGCTTGAATCATGCTGGCCGTGAAAGGGAAAGGGAAGCTAAGGTGGCTGATGAGATCTGCTTTTGAAAGCAAAGATTCTAGATTGAAAAGAGCCTCAGATTGCAAATCTCGTTAACCTTAAATAGGGAAAACACTTCAACAGATGAAACAGGGCAGCGTTCCTTGGAGAGGAGTGCCAGCCCGGATCATCAGAGGTGTCAGGACTGAATCTGAAATTCTTTTTGTCAGGCACTGCTAATAAAGTAAGGAGATCACGTTGATTGAGAGGTAAGTATAGGATCTAGAGCTGACAAATACATTCAGACTGGCAGCGCGTCTTAGTCTGTGATTTTTAACATTCTTGTATGCGCTGGGAGTGAGGACAATAGCCCTTTGGATTCACACGCGACCATCTGGAGTTGTGCCAGCAGAAATCCTTACTGAAATTACAGTTATTGCACGTCAGAAGTATCTCACCTGCCAGACTCAGGTTATGTTTGCACGGCGCTGGTTTTAGGTAGCAGTTGTTGTTATGCCAGGAGGACTTTACCGGTAGGTATACTGGTATGCCTGTATCATTAAGCATACCTAACGCAGGCCTGGCTCTACCGTGTAATGGCTCTGTTTATCACTATAATCCTGAGTGCAATTCTCACCTTGTTACCTGGAATATTTACACTAAGGTACATCAGGGAAGGGTTGCCATCATCTGAAGAGAAGTGAAGGCATAGGAGGAAGTGTCTGGTGGACAACAGGACTGGGAAAGCTCTTGCTCTCCCCTTGTGAGAACATCCCATCTCAGCTACCTCTATACAAACATGGGTGGCTTAGGAGACAGAAGAAATTAGAAGGTTGTGTGTAGTTGCAGAGCAATGACCCTGTTGGACATGGTGAGATAGCTCACATGACCAGAAAGACAGGCTAGGAAGGCAAGGAGAAAGGGTTGTGCTCCATGCAAAGGCGTGCCTGGAGCTTTGCCTTGGGATGAGTGGTGAGCCTGTTGGGAGCTAATGGGTAGGAATCAAAGGATAGACCAACATCAATGACATTGGAAAGATTTTAGCTTCAAGTGAAACGATAAGCAGCAGAAAGAGAGTGCTGACATTTAGCAATTTAGAACATGGCCAAGTCTAAACGGAGATTCATGGGACTGCAAAGGGACAGTGGTCTTACTGATGGCAGGACTTTGGAACTTGACAGGGTGAAACACTCAGAGAAAAGAGGGCGAGAGGACATCAGAAGAAAACTGTCCAAAGAAACCACTGGCAGTGTATGTTCATTACCTGGCAGCTCTTAAGCAGAAATCTGCGCTTCTCCGTGTCGGATTCAGAGCTCTAGCAGCTGGCCTTAGAACGCAGAAAGTACCAGAATAACCTCAAAATTTTAGGCAGCTGAGAGATATCCTGCAGACTGTGCACATGCTGTTAGTCTACTCTAGTCTTTCTTTATGATCTCAGAAGATTAATACAATTTCTTTGAGCCTCTTTGCCTCATGTAAAATGAGGATGACCAGCACATTCCTATGTCACAGGCAGGATGTGGCACAGTTGGTTAAACTGTGCTTGTAAAAGACAGAAATTAGGATAAATGTGTTATATTGCAAAACAAAGGCTTAGTTTCACATTTGCCCTACACTGACTTTGTTCCTCTGAATGCAGGAGTTCCTAACTGTGACCTCAGCTTACAGCGTTGTGAGCAGGGAGTCGCTCACAAGTGATGGGTGCGTTGTCTAAGGCAGTTCTAATAAACTGCAACTAGAGTAATCCTTTCCTTGTGCAGATGGATGGAGTACAAATATGCAGGACATCAGAACAATCCATAGGAAAGCTCTAAGAGCAATCAGCAAGTATGAGCCCATTGAAAAGTTGGAAGAGCTGGAGATGCCTGGTTTCTGGTGGGTAGGACAAGAGTTAATGTGGTTAATGCTTACATCGCAGCAAGGAAGATTCAGCCCGAGTACTAGGAATAGCTCGAACAGGGAGAAACATGGGGCACCTTTTTCTACCTAGACAGTTATTTGTAGTAGAGTGATTGTGTGTTGAAAATCAGGGTTTCTGTACTCTTTTTCAGTCTCTTATGGGGGAATGTGACCCAGAGCCTGCGACCCTGTAGTGCTTGATCCTGGCCTTTCAGGTTTTAGACAGGTTTGCTCTATTATAGACTGTGGTTCTTGTCCCACCTGTGCATGATCTGACCTTCTTGGGGTTTTAGCAAATCAGGTTTGACCGTGTGCACTAGTACAAGGGATATGAGTTCACATCTGTTCCATATAAACTGTGCCTGGGTTGATCATATTCAGCAGCCCGATTTGCATCTTGGGAGGTGTCCCAACAAAAAATTAAAGATCAGGCAGGGTTTTGGCATCTGGCATTCGTGGATGAGGAACACAGAACCCAGCAACTCTGTTTATGCTTCAGAGCTCTATTAACCTTTTCGGTTTTTAGCCCTGAATATTTTCTTCTCGAGGACCAAGCCCCCTTGGTTTGCACTGGGCCAAATTTTTTCTCTGGCCAAAGCCTTGGTCCTGGGAGGGCAGGGCGTTGTTCTCCTTGAAGGTGGCGTCAGTACCTCACCACCTGGCAGGGTTGCTGTCACCGCGTGAGGGTTTGTGCTGGCTTGAGTTCTGCTATTCTGATTCAGCAAAACAAATACCCTGAAACCCTCAGCTGTGCAATGTTTTGATGAACTGTGTATGGCCTTCCTTTTTCTGGGCTGTCCTTCCATATTTTACATGTCTTTACATGTGTTCAAAAAGCGGGGTGGTTTGATTGCTGAAGTTACTAGTAAGTGGCAAAACTCTGGTGCCCTGACCGCTCCAGTACCAACCATTACAAATTAAAAACCGTCATTGTAACATTCATTTGAGTTAAATATGATGTGACTAGCAAGCGTGGTGTTACTCGGTTAAATATTTAGGTGATTCATATTTCCTTTCTGGCACCAATTGTGAAAATGGTGTAAGTCTTTTTTGGTTGAATAAATCAAGGTTGTTAAATACAATGGCTGCTTTTTAAAAGCACCTACTAGAGAATATTGAGAATTATTTCAATTAAAAACAAAGCTGAAGTTTTATTTATTTAAAAAAAAAAAGGCAGAGAAAATGACCTGAATAAGTATAAACCAGGTGGCCTGCATTTCATCTCTGACAGAATAGTTCTTTTTTTGTTGTGTTTGGTTGGAGAGTCAGTTGTAAGAAAGATGTTATAATGCAGCTAATATCAGCCCGTCTAGTACTGTGAAAATAGGTCTTGGCAAGCAAACTTCATATTTTGAGATGAGGTTGGAGGTCCAGTTGATAAAGGTCACTGATATATTTTTAAACTACTATAATATGTTTGATTTTTTTCAGTCAGTACATCTTATTTAATTAATGAGATTACTACTAAGAATGAGTAGAGGCTGTATAAAATAATTATATTTGACAGTAATCTCATCCTCTTCTGGAAGGGTCGATATTATTCCATAATCTTTCCATCACAGTATTTATTAGCACCAAGTTTAAAGTTTATTTGATAAAGTATCCATGAAGTATGCTGGAGACAGGAGGTATCTTGTTTATCCCGAGGAATCTGGATCGCTTGTTAAACTGGTGCAGATGAACATGCATTTTAAGGTGACCGAATCTGTGGTTTGTACATCTAAGAAAAAAAAAACCCAAACCAGGTCCTAGTTACTGCATGGGGGATTGTAGCCTTAAAAGCTGTAGGCTGAAGAAAAGAAAAAGTCATGGAAAGTCTGGTGAGTAACAAGCTAAATGAGACCGTTGTGTGATGCTGTGGTAAAAGGGATAATTCAGTGGTAATGAAAAATGCCAGTCAGCGTGGTTTCCTGGAAAATATGTCTCTCCAGATAAACATAATCTTGTTTCGTGTCTGAGTTTACTTGAGTGGTGTCTATAAATATGTACGAGAAGAGAAGATTTCTTATACCAGAGGGCTTTTTATTTTGTAGGCAAAGATTTAATGAGATTTGCTGCCTGGAAGACAAAACAAGCCTGATCAAAGTAGGAAAAAAAATAATGAAGTTACTATCACCACTTGGAGACTTTATGTGAGACATCTCACTGGATGTGCTAATTTGATCAGATACCTTTTGTGTAACCTCGGAAGACACGGGTACAGGTGATGTGGTCTGTCCCGTGCCAGAGGGTCACTGGGGCTTTGACTCACGGTGACTCCTTCCCGCTTCAAAAATTGTCCCATTTTGCAATTCCAAGGTGGAGGGTGTATTGCATGGGACGGTGTGATCCCTCAGTCCTATAAATAGCTGGGGCTCCATGCAGCATGGGGTGGCTTTATTTTCAGTGGACCTGCCATGGTGGAGAAAGGAGAGTTGACTCCATGGTGCCAGCTCTGTAAATGTCTCCAACTTTGGGCGTCTGTGCAGGATCTGGCATGGCTGGAGGGGCTCGTTAGCCAGATGGTTCAGCCCCAGCAAGCCGTGGGGAAGGCATGCATTTACAAGCCTGGAGTTCAGTATCCTGCTGGGATAGATGATCATTTACCTTTCAAGTTTCTGACAATATTCAGAATAAGCTCTGAGTTTGTATAGTGATTGCATTTGCAGAATCTCTTTATTTGTAGAAGTGCGTTTTATTTTTCTATGTAAATCTTAGCTTTGAGTCTGAGTTCGGTAAATGATATATTTTGTAACTGTCATGATGCAGAGAGTGCTGTGTATGTACCATTCTTATTAGAAGGTGCAATGAATAGGTGTTTTTAAATGTGACTGGAAAGTATGTTCCAGATACAGTAGGAAACAATCCTGAAATATAATAAATGTCAGTCTTAAGATGCAAGCGTTTGCGTCATTTCAGACTACATTGACTTTCCCTTCTCACTGTTGATCTGTTGAAGCCCTTCTTCTTGGGGGGAAGAAAAAAGATGCTTTTATTTATTTCCTCACCTATTTTGTCCTTTTTTTTTCCCTAGTTACCCAGTGGGAGACTCTTCCACGCCGCGGCTGTTATCTCAGATGCTATGTACATCTTTGGCGGCACGGTGGACAATAACATTAGAAGTGGAGAAATGTACAGGTTCCAGGTAATTCACTGATAAACATCCTCAAACATTCACACCAGTTCTGCCTGAATCCTTCTGGCTGTCTCCGGACGTGCAGAGTTTCTGGTTTGGCTCCCTGTGAGCTTGATGGCTTTCCTTTCGCAATCTTCCTGCAGGATGCCTTTGCATTTCAGATTCAGCTGCCAATGATTAATATACATCTTTAAAGTATTTTGAGATATGTTATCTGCACAGACATTTTGGTAAGGCCAAGCTCTCCAGTGCCTTCTAAAGTCCTGACAGAGATCATGACACTTATTTTGACAAATTATTGAAAAGTGTATCAGACAGGATTTGCCAGGATGTTTAATTGAAAATTGGTTGTTTCTCTTCATGTACTGTCAGGTTCAGGGTTTCTGGGTCAGAGCATTTTGTACTAAAGTTTTATCTTCCTGCAGCAATTCCCTCTCCCATCCCCCAGTAACTATGGGAATTTTAAATTTAAAATTTCAAGATACTCACACCAGGTCAAATCCCCCCTACGCTCAAATTTATTTTTATTGTGTGGGACCCTCAGACAAGTCCCGAGAGCAGGTGAGACTCCGAGCCACCAAATCCTGAAATCTGCAAGGAGTGATGGATGGATGAGAGACATCTCTTGCATGTTAGTCCGTGTTATCTTCATTACCCTCACCACAGAGGAAGCCCTTGCACGTGTTTGGTTTGGTTGTTGTTTTCTACTTTGTATGCTACATTGAGGTCAAGCTAATAAGAAAATCCAGTGATGGTATATGTAGCTACAGTACTTTTGGATATGGCCATTTGAAATGAATTCTGTCTTCTGTGGGTTTTTACTTTTTTTTTTTAGTTTTCTTGTTACCCTAAATGCACTCTGCATGAAGATTATGGAAGGCTGTGGGAAAACAGACAGTTCAGTGACTTGGAGTTTGTTTTGGGAGAGGTGAGTGGAATTTATTGAAAAGGTGCCAATGGGGGTGTTACTGCATGCGTAGCGTGTTTGCTGGGAAAAAGCAAATGGTACGATGATTGTGCCAGAAACCCTGGGAATGAAGTTTTAAGAGAGTGTCACTGGTGAAAATGATGTCTGTCTGGTTTAGTAAGTTCTACTAATCCAGAAAAATGTATAAAGCAGCAGAGGAGGATAAACTTTTAAACTGAGATCTGTGGATCACTGAGACACAACCCGAGTTTATCAGAGCACGTTATACACAGTTGCAATATGAAAACGATACTAACGACCTCTGTACTCCGAGGTCCCAACGGTCTCCTGGCAAAAGCAGGTCAGTGGTTTGCAGATCCATGTATCATTTCAAGAGCCATTTTTAATTACTGAAATAAAATAGAATGAGAAAAAGCAGCACAGGGGAATGGTTTTCTAGTAATGAAAACAATTACAAAATTTTTAAAAGAACATGTTTTCTGAAGAAAAACATGAGAAATTTGAACTTAACTGCATTCCTTTCATATAAAAAAAAAAGTTAGAAAATACTTTGCAGAGATCAGATAACAGATCCTCAGCAACAGATGAAGTAGATGATGAAGAACAAACATGCTGTTGTTTTGAAAAGAGAAAATCAAACCGAAAATCAGATGCAACAATAAGAAGCGATATTTGTGACACTGAACCTGCACTACAGTTTCCAGTCAGTGAATGCAGCAGAGACTCTTTCCAAGTGGTGTTTGCCGTTAGCCTTTGGGGAAAATAGGTGTTGAATTTCATGTGGATGTGCAGAGCAGATGCAAGGTTGCCATTGATTCTAACTTAAACTAAATGTATAGTAACCTGGAGTTCAGCCCGGGTTTCTATGGCTTCTGCCATCTGCCACCGCCATGTGATTTGGGAATAAAAGTTTAATATGTGTTATTCCTTTGCCTTTGACAGAAGGAAGAACGAGTCCGAGGGCACACTGCAATTGTTACAGCTCGCTGCAAGTGGCTGAAAAAGAAAATCATGCAGGCAAGGGAGAGGTTGAAACAGGTGAGTATTTCAGAAAAGTAATCTTGTGGCGGGGTAACACCTATTCTACCCAAGTTTGGAACTAAGGGTGTTAGGAAAAAGTATCTGCTGAGGCAGATGTAGGACCAGAGCAGTATCTGATGCTGAGGTGCTCTTGGGCAAGTAAAATAAAGAGGATAATTAGTATTAACATAGGCTACTGGATAGTAGGCTACCAGTAGTATTAACATAGGCTACCAGGCCAGGCGAGGAGCGTAACATGGAGGAGCCAAAGTTAATCCAGTTATCTGGATTTGGCAGTATGGTTCTTGGGAGCTCTCGTGGCTGTCTAAGTTCTAATCTTGTGGAATACCCTTGGGGATGTGTGTGTACCCCTCCCTCTGGGGAGGGTAAAAGCTGTATGTCGTCGGGGATGGCCTGCAAGATAAGACAGATTAGAGGGAAGGCAGTGTTAAGGTTTTGAGGCTGGCTCTGTTCCCTTTACCTTAGATTTCCTGATTTTTTTTCCAGAGTTGAAGGTCTGATGCCTATGGTTCATTGTCTATTAATTTTAACTACTTACAGCTTTTCAGCAGCAAACATTTTATTGCTCTTGAGGAAGTGGTAGCACACAACCTGCAGTAAGACATATGGATGCCTGATTGCCCCTTAGTTAATTGCTTTGCCACCCCACAGTCCTCCATCTTCTCTGGAAAAGGCTTTAGGGAAAGGCTGTCAAAGTGGAACTTGAAAGTAACAGAGTGTCTTAAAATAATTCTGTGCAGCACTTTGAGCTCTGACTTTGCAAAGCAGGGGTCTGTGGAACCTGCTTCCTTCTCCAAGGAGAGATGCTGTTCCTGCTG